AGTCCTGGGGGCAACCAAGCACCAGTAAGCGTGCTTGCCTTATTGGAATGGCGGATGCTGTAGGTGAAACAAATCCTCACTATTTGGTTTGACAGTGTGTGTCCACAGCTGGTCCTGACAGGTGAGAACTGTCACCATCTATGACAAGGTAAGTTACCTTGTCTTGTGTTTGGACTGCACTGGAAAAAAAAAACAGCCAGCGCAGCCCGAATGCAGATGTTTTGAACAAGTCCTCAATGATCTGGTTGTCAGACGTGACCTGGGTAGGACTTGGTAATCAGATGGAATAATTTTTTGCATCATTGTAGTGGTTAGGAGATGGGTAAAGCCACTGCTGCTCTGATCACCTGATCTTGGACTATGTAGCACGCTGCCAACACAATATAACTGAAGTCCGTGATAAAGCCAGTGTGGAGATATTTGAATCTTTCAATAGCTAAAATTCCATTATTGTGCCTAGAGCAAAAGACTGGAAAGCTAGAGGTTCTGATTAGAGCTGCAGCTAACGATTATTTTCAAAATCGATTAGTTAGCCGATTATTAAGTTCGATTAATCGATTAATCGGATAAACAAATCTAATAAACTAAACGGAGTGTGCAATAAATGGACGCAAAAAATGGGGGAAAATTTTTTTTTTTTAAAAAAAAGGATCTGAGCAGGTAATAAAGTGAGCAGAAATTAAAGGAAACTGGCCAGAGTACAAAAAACAATTGGCCAGGAAGTCAAAGTAGCAAGGTGGAAGATAGGCCAGCTGAGCAAACGTCTGGATGGGAATACGCACCTGTGACCAAGGTTTCATTTACTCCTCCAGGCATAAACCTTTAGGAGCCAATGCTGTGCCAGACCTACAGAGTTGAAACTTTAACTCTACATGGATTTCTCAGTTTTGGTGACTTCTTTTGGGGGGGCCTAGTCTAGTGGAGAGCTGCTGAAACCAAGCCAACAGGCTCAAATTAAGCCTGGCTTTTAGGGCCGGTTCACACCACAAACTCCGCATTCCAGTGCGTTCGGCCTCTGAAGCGCAAGCCGGCCGGCTCCCTGCGTTCAGGGGAAGTAGGGGGTGTGGTGGTGCATTGTCGTCAATGGCACTACAGCCACGCCCTCGGCCCGCACCCGGATTGCAGACAGTGTCTGCGGTCCAGTGCGTTCAGCAAAAATCGTACAATTCTTGGCTGGTTTTCCAACATGCTCGAAATACAAAAGTCGTGCAACCGTACAGTAGGAACGGTCGCACGCCATCCATACACTGCACGATTCTCGTACGATCGCGGGATCGTGGGCACCTTTGCACAGCAGCAGTGCCCATCAGAAGCATTACTCACCTGAACCACATCTACATCACAACTAGTATTTGCTGCAGGAGTGAAATGAAGGCAATTATGCACAAACCATTGGGCGTTTTTCAGCGTTGATCGGAGCGCTGAAAAACGCTCAAGCAGTGAAGTCCCATAATTTCCTATGGGCATGGTTCCCACCTGGGAGTATTTCAGCGCATTTTGACGCGCTGAATAACGCCCTACGCCCGAACTAGTACAGGAGCTTCTTTGGGGCGTCTTTATTGGTATTCCCGAGTGTGGCTCGGGGTTAACAAAGCGGAAACCCAGAGCCACACTCGGGAGTACGGCGTAGGTCTTACCTTGTCCGCAATCCCCGCTGTGTCCTCCCGCCGCTGCCGTCTTCCGGGTTCCGTCCCTTGCGAGCGTCCGCGTCACAGGGAGGCGAAACCGGTGGGAAGTTTGAAAGTTTAAAAAAAAAATGATGGTAGTGTGGAGAATGTAATGCCTCTGGCTGTAGTAGTGCACAGTAACACAATTGTCACAATCTGAATGGTAGTTTGGCTTTGAGTTTTTGTGCTGTATGATTTTCACTCCGATAACCTGTAATGTTAAAAGGTTATTTAGGGATCTCAAGAAACGTACAGTATGGTTTGTTTAAAATGATTTGTGTTCGTTAAAAAAATTCCACCCACAGTATCCATTGCAAATTTGTAAGTTCTGTAACCTGTGTGTTGTAATTGGATGACTATGTCTAAAGCTGGCCACACGCCTTACATTTATCTGCAGATTTTCTGTGGTCAGATGGAAAAGGTGCAACAGATTCCTCCATCTACACGTAACTGTGTGGATGGAGTAATCTCCACCTGGGCCAATCTCTTGCACTTTTTCCATCTGACCACAGAAAACCTGCAGATACTTGTAAGGTGTATGGGCAGCTCTACAACCTCACTGCTTTCTTCATGTTGAATCTAGACACGGATTGAAATTTTAAGTGACTCTCTTGAGTTTACTAATCACAAAGCTAAATCCCCAAGTGAATACACAAGTTAATCAAAATAGTGGCTGATGCACTATTTGCATATCTTGGAAATAAGCTTTGTGTGTACACTGGTTTAGTGGGTGCGTGGCTTTCTTAAAAAAAGAAAGCCAGAGTGTTTAAAAAAGGAACTTCAGGAATCTAAAAAATTAACCCTTGCAATGGAGATACCCCCCCCCGCAAGGGTTAACTGCTCATTTTGGTCTAGGGGCTCAAATGAAAAATATACTCGCCGGATCCTCGGTACTGCCTGGCTGCTAGACTGGTCCCTGCAGCCTCTTCTGCCCCAGGCTCCAGTGGTCTAAGCCCCGCTGATATCATCGCATCTAATGCAGTCCATTCACCTGCATTAGACTTCAGGACACCAAGGAATATACCAAAGCCGGAGTGAAGGGGAAGAGAGGTGAGCACTCAGTGCTGCAGGACCAAGGATCAGCTGAAAATACACTATATTGCCAAAAGTATTGGGATACCCCTCCAAATCATTGGATTCAGGTGTTCCGTGAAATTTCCTTGCTACTAAATATTCCACGGTCAACCGTGGAAAGTGGTATTATAACAAAGTGGAAGCAACTGGGAACAACAGCAACTCGGCCACAAAGTGGTGGGCCACGTAAAATGACAGAGCAGGGTCAGTGCATGCTGAAGCGCACAGTGCACAGAAGTCGCCAACTGTCTGCAGAGTCAATAGCTACAGACCTCCAAACTTCATGTGGTCTTCAGATTGGCACAACAACAGTGCATAGAGAGCTTCATGGAATGGGTTTCCATGGCCGAGTAGCTGCATCCAAGCCTTACATCACCAAGCGCAATGCAAAGCGTCGGATGCAGTGGTGTAAAGCACGCCGCCACTGGACTCTAGAGAAGTGGAGATGTGTTAGCTGGAGTGACAAATCACGCTTCTCTGTCTGGCAATCCGATGGACATGTCTGGGTTTGGCGGTTGTCAGGAGAACGGTACTTGCCTGACTGCATTGTGCCAAGTGTAAAGTTTGGTGGAGGGGGGATTATGGTGCGGGGTTGTTTTTCAGGGGTTGGGCATGGCACCTTAGTTCCGGTGAAGGGAACTCTTAAGGCATCAGCATACCAAGAAATTTTGGACAATTTCATGCTCCAAACTTTGTGGGAACAGTTTGGGGATGGCCCCTTCCTGTTCTAACATGACAGCACACCAGTGCACAAAGCAAGGTCCATAAACACATGGATGAGCGAGTTTGGGGTGGAAGAACTTGACTGGCCTGCGCAGAGTCCTGACCTCAACCCGATGGAACACCTTTGGGATGAATTAGAGCGGAGACTGCGAGCCAGGCCTTCTCGTTCAACATCAGTACCTGACCTCACAAATGCGCTTCTGGAAGAATGGTCAAACATTCCCATAGACACACTCCTAAACCTTGTGGACGCCTTCCCAGAAGAGTTAAAGCTGTTATAGGCTGCAAAGGGCGGGCCAACTCAATATTGAACCCTATGAAAAAAGACTAGGATGCCATTAAAGTTCATGTGTGTGTTAAGGCAGGCGTCCCAATACTTTTGGCAATATAGTGTATCTTCTGTGTTCCAGCCCCTAGACCAAAATGAGTAGTTAACCCTTGCAGTGCAGAGGTAGCACTACTGCAAGGGTTATTTTTTGAAATAACTGAAGTTCTTTTTTAAAGTTGACATGTGGGGCTCATATCTGGGTAATGCCATGATCGGCTTGTTTTTATTGATGCAGGCTTTGGAGCTGTCCTCCTAATCCTGGCTTTCTGTTCTGAGTCACTGAAGTCTTAAAACACGCGCCCAGCATACTTTTTGCAGGTAATGGACACACTAGGTAGGATTGTCGGCAAGGTCACGATCGTAGCCCCTTAACCTGCACCTATAAAAATAAGTTGACTGTTACAGCTGCCATATTTATTTCCTTCAGTCACCTTTTAAGCTGGGCCTAGATCAGGGGTGCCCATTAGGTGGATCCCAATCTACCAGTCGATAGACACAGGTCAGTGAGCCGCTCATCCTGCGGTGCTCGTGCGGTTAAATTCTTCAGACGCTGCAGGCGGGAAGGGACGGGACACCTCTCCCAGTCTGCACATTCGGCCACACGAGCACTGCAGGAGGACAGGACACCGCACCTAGAGGAGACCTTGGAAGCTGCTGCAGTGCAGGTAAGAAATTACTGAAGAGAGCAGAGAGGGAGAAGAGAGACAGCAGAGAGAGATGGGAGAGAAGAGACAGCCAAGAGAGCCAGTTCATGCCGCAAAGTCTGCGTTCCCGAGTGTTCGGCCTTTGGAACGCAAGCCGGCCGGCTCCCTGATTTCAGGGGCGGGAGGAGTGGTGCATGGAAGTCATTGGCACTGCAGCCACGCCCCTTGCCCACAGTGCGATCGCCCGCACCCGGAACGCAGGCACATTAGTGTCTGCATTCCGGTCAGTGTGATCAGCAACAATAGTGCTTGCTGGCCAGCTTGCGTTTCAGAGAGAGACCGCAGAGAGGAGAGAGAGAGGCAGTAGTCCAAGTAACTATTTAATGTGCTTGTTTTCCAAATAAAATCTCATCGAGCTCATCATTTCAAAAGTAGATCTACAGACGAAAAATTGTGGGCACCCCTGGCCTAGATGGACAAATGTTATAATATGCAGAGCTTTATCCAGTGTAATATTTAAGGGGAATATTTTATATAATGTTGTTTTTGTTTCTTTATATACAGTGTCAATTGTTTTCGGAATCCCCACTGTGAAAAGAGACAAACAGAGCTACCTCATGGACACGTTGAACTCCATCTTCTCAGAGATGTCTGCAAGCGAAAAAGAGGATTGTGTTGTCATAGTGTTTATAGCAGAGGTGAGGGATGACTGGATGGTGCGTTTTGTTTTCTATTGACTTGAACCTGAAGT